CACAGGCTGTGAAGGATGCTAAATGGAATAAGGATGGAGTGAATGCCTTGAGTGGTGGCTATGACAAATTCTCAAGAATTACTGATGTTAATGCAGGTAATTTTATTAATTTATTACTTCTGTACATTATGTGCAGGGAAATGGTTAAAGTAAGGCCCGTTTCATACACCATAGCTTCACATGTGCCAAATACATTAAAGACAATAGATAATGACTGAAATGCCTCATTGTCTATTGTTTTTAATGTATTCGGCACACGTGAAGTGCGGCGTATGAAACGGGCCTAAGGTTTTACTCTTGCATGCTTTAAACAACTGTCATATAAAGATATTTAATTCAAACAGTTTTGTCCTGTTTAAAAAAGCAACATATTGATATATTCAGAAGTAAGTATTGCACAGTATCGGTACTATGTAGATGTGCATGGAGTATTAAAAAAGACAGGTCAGTTTCCACAGAAACATTCCTATACCAAATCTTGACACTACTAATCTCAAGCGTAATCCTAAAGGTTAATTTTCACTCCGGAAAATAAGCAGCGGATCGGAACTGAGTTTTTCCGATCCGATCCAACAAGCGATTAAAGGACAAGTGGAATGATCGGAAAAGGAAAAAATGGAGCTCGTTCCAGTCTTGCAAATTACTCTATTGGGCTTATTTCAAAACGGCAGCGGCTCTAAACAAGCGTGTCCTTCATTTTATTTTGTTACGTCCTCATGCAGTGAACGAGAAGAAAACAAGAAATATACAAAAAGAGCATTTGGATAAGAAAAATTTTTCAGGAAAGACAAATGGAAAAGTAAATACCAATTATGACCATGAATATATTTAAAGCAATTTTTCGTATGTTGCCAAGCAAATTTGAAGAGCTGTTGTAAATTCTCCCTCGAATTCTTGAAGAAAGCTCCTGAATTATCCTCCATTTTGTAAATTTTTACAGGTATTTTTTTTTTAAATTTATGTGAGATAATACGGCATTTTGGTTCGTCGCCAAGGTTTAATCCGCGGGACCGGACCAAAAAAAGTTGAAAATATTTCAACTTTTTATTATCCGGCCAGCAACGTCGCCGGATCAATCGGAACCAAGAATTTATACTGATGGCGCATGCATACACGGATTTTGTTTTGGTCCGATCCGCTGTTTATTTTCCGAAGTGGAAATTAGCCTTAACCCATATATCCTTGTGACATCATTTCAGGATATTTATATGTAAAGCCGGTCACCAAAAATGACGAATTCATGTAGTATTACTTAGGTCCACGCACAAGCCACAGTATACGTACATGTGATATATTAGAAACAATTATATTCAGTAACTATATAATTATTATACATGACGTCGAAACGATTCTCCACAGGAAAGGAAGTCTGTGCCAACAAACACAATTCATTTGTCACGTGTGTTGTCTATCACCCGTCTGATGCCAACGTGTACCTATCAGGAACATCCAATGATGGAATATTTGCCTGGGATATCAGAACACAACAGGTTAGCTTTCTAAAATGCCTTAGAGAATAGAGCGGTAAAAGTTGTTTTCTATTAGTTCACCAGCATTAGTCCGTATGTTGTCACCCGATATCGTTCACTTTCATTAAGCATGTCTTAGATCTGAAATATTTTTACGGGAACTAACACTTTAGAACACGCTGAGTTCAAATCCGAAAAGTTCCCACTCCGTATAGACCCGCAGTTTCTTCACAAAATGCTATTTTATCTTCACTAATTCATAGTGACTAATTTCACAACAAGTTTTTTCATTGTTCAACGATACGGATCGATGACGTCATGACGATACACGATTATGTAACTCAAAAGGACCAATTTCTATTAACCATTCTTCCTTTTGACAAAAGATCGGTTTTCTCGAATAATTTTGAGTTATGCAATTGTATGCGTGTTGGACATAAACAGCATAATTATCTTGTCTACAACTTTGAGAAGGTACATATAACGCTTTCTAAAATCCTCAGTTCTAGAGATACCTGTATCTCTATAAAATCATAAGGTCACTGGCCTGAAAAATAACTCTTTTAACGCGATCAAGGTATTTAAAACAAAAGTAACGCGAAGCCAACGTAACGGCAAAGACAATGCTAAAATGAAATATTGTCGAATGGTTGCAGGTAGAACACTTACGACAGGATCAATCTTAAATAACCTTAAACTATAAGAATAAATGTTCATATCAAAGACAAAGATCAGTCCCAAAGTATAAAACACGCTCTGTAACCTTACCACGAAGTGGAGAAATGTGTGCACGAGCTGTTTATTTGATGATTTCGACGTATATAGAAGCCCGTATAAGGAATTATTTCTCAGCCCAGAGACATAGCCCAAAGACTTGACATTAACGTCCTTGTAATTTTATAGAGATAGATCCAGAACTAAGGATATTAGAAGGAATTATCTGTACCTTCTCAAAGTTGTAGACAAGATATGTTGTTTACGTCCAACACGCATAAGATTGCATAACTCAAAATGATTCGAGCAAAACCGGTCTTTTGCTAAAATGAAGAATGGTTAATAGAAATTGGTCCTTTTGAGTGAGATAATCGTGTATCGTCGTCGATCCGTGTCGTTGAACAATGAAAAAATTTGCTGTGAAATTAGTTAAGATAAAATAGCATTTTGTGAAAAAACTGCGGCCGGTCTACGGAGTGGGAACTTTTCGGATTTGAACTCAGCGTGTTCGAAAGTGTTAGATCCCGTAAAAGTATTTCAGATCCAAGACATGCTTAATGAAAATCGTTTTCTAGGCACTTTTCGAGGTCACAACACACGGACTACATGTTATAAGGACGAGAACGTACGAACAGCCTCGTTAATATCATTAATATAAGTAAACGCATGCTTTGAGGGAAATTAGTGATTAAATGATCCCGCAAACCGAAGGGAGGTTTAGTAAAAGACACGAGGGCGTAGCCCGAGGGACTTTTACTAGACCTCCCCTATAGACTGACAATAGTTTAATTCCTGTGAATTTCAATTTTAGCATGCAGGGTATAGGCTATCCCCAAATTTCATTTATGAATAACGAAATCCTAATATTTGTGTTGTATGAAAAGCGAGAGAATGGCTTTTTTCAGTACCATTGTATATGTACTGCAGGACAGTAAACTATTATAGTAAAGTTGCATTAATTTCATAAGCTACAGCACTGTAGCTATTAGCTATTTTTTTTTATGAAAATGACACTGTACAACTTTAATAGTTATAATGATATGAAAATAGTATATTTGCAGGTACAAGTCGTTCTTTGGTCAAATTCAAGACTTAGCGTTCTTACCTGATGGACAGAGTTTTATTTCTGCTGCGGAGATATCCAGGCGTAATTCAACGGACAAAGGTATCATGGTATGGGACTACAAAACCTCGACAGTCTTGTCAAACCAAGTCTTTCAGGTACACTATACAGGGTGTCTAAAAAAACGCTGTGGAAATTCAACAGGCTGTCGTGCATCATCAACTTTGCTAAACAATTCAATTTTTACATAGGACTATTATTTAGCTTTTTAATGATACTTTTTTTAAATCGTAACGATGAGAAATGGTCATGGACATACTATTGTTCCCAGTAAACTGCGAAACGACCGTTTTTTTAGGCGCTTTGTCAGTGACGGTTTTGTCAATGGCAAAGGACATATTTGTGTACCACGCGATTACAATTCTTTGCAAGCGGCGTGTGAAAAACTGCAAGTTTCAGTTTGACATTTCTGGCAGTTGAATGGTTTATAATTTTATTGTCCAATCAGATGCGTAGTTTTGAATTTTAAATCATCTGATTGGACAATAAAATTAGAAACCATTCAACTGCCATAACTGTCAAACTGAAACTTGCAGTTTTTCACACACCGCTTGCAAAGAATTGTAATCGCGTGGTACACAAATATGTCCTTTGCAATTGACAAAACTGTCACTGACAAAGCGCCTAAAAAAACGGTCGTTTCGCAGTTTATTGGGAACAATAGTACTCGTCAAATAAAAATTGCCGGTCGAAATCACATTATGGGAATTGAAAATACATTAATTATGCAAAGTTAATCAATCCAAAAGCAACGCGAGCCTGCTGCAAGCTATTTGTTTCGTAAAACGTTTGATCACGAATGTTCTCTGTTCAGTGGTTAATTGACCACGTTCTTATTGTCTCACTAAGACGAAGATTGACGAGTTGAGCTCGTTTTAGATAATTTAACATTCAATTTTAATTCCCTCTTGGGAATTGTCCATGTTTCGTTTTCCATGCAATTCCCAACGGTGGAAGAATGTGATTTCGACCAGCAATTTTTATTTGACGAGTATGTGGCATTCCTCATCGTTATCATTGTAAAGCTAAATAACTGTTCTTTCGTCCTATGTAAAAATTGAATTGTTTAGCCACGTTCATGATGCACGACAGCCTGTTGAATTTCCATAGCGCTTTTTTTGAGAAACCCTGTACATGTCAAATAATTCATAAATCATACATAGTACCCTGGATTTCAGAGGCTTCAGGGAGTTTCCTATAGCTTTCCCGTAAAAGCTGTTTGTCATTTAAATTGGCCGACGACCTTACTCATGTCGCCAATTAGGAACTAGCTACAGTATACTTTTCACAATTCTATCATCTATGAAGGATACTAGATAATGGTACATGTACATGTTGTTCTAAAGTCGAGAGAACATAATTCACCGGTTATTGGAGTGAACTTAATTTGAATTTGAAGCGTATTGCACCCATTTTATTATTGACCGGTCAATAAATGTTTCATTGCGGACGACCGGTTGCCGAACATGACGTTTTGTGGACCGGCACGTGCATGCATGATACGGTTTTGACCAATCGGCAAACAGAAAAATTGAACTTTGACACCAACTATATAACAATATACTATACTGAATAGAACTAGACACAGTTCATGCAGTGCCCTGCATGAACATGCACAAAACAAGTTCACTGCAAGCGCAAAGACATACTATTTTTGCATAAATACCAAGCCTTACGATTTCGAACAAATTAACACAGGGGGTCCAACTAACAGCTGTGTTATGAATAAAACATATTAATTAAACGTAATATGAATAAAACATCATAACGTAATATTGCACTTACTTGTATAAATCATAAGAGCTTGCATTTTAATACAGT